CCGCGGAGGGGCCAATCCGCAGTGAGGAGGAACGTCAGAGGCCGGAAGTCAGACATGGCTACAATACGAGACAGGCGGCGCGGCATTAAAATTGTCAGCAGGCAGGAACACACATCTCACCACTGTAGTGATGGAAAATAGAATGTTCCCGAAACGTCACCACAATGAGAATTTGGTTCATGACAGCGCCTTGTTTTCTTCTTCATCTTCTTTGAACAGGATAATTTATCTAGACCTTGTATCTTCACATATATTAATATATATATATATGTATATATGTCCGATGGGAAACGCTAGCTATTGGAGCTTGATTGAAGCAGAATGGTTTCGTGCTTATTCTGCCTCTCTGCAGTCAAGTATATCTCTGACTACGAAGCAAGACCAGAAATAACTGAATGTGTATATAAGTGGCCCAAATAGCTCACTTATTCGTCTGCTTCGTTTCATTTTTCAGTTTCATGAAGACTACCTGCATCGGCTCTGTGCTGACCTCACTGAGGCCTGTCAAAATGCAATAGACGCAAGATTCGAAGCTAAATTAAACTTCTTTAGGCTGCCACGGTCTGTGGACGACTCATTCTCCTCTACAATCGACCCCGCCTTGCTGACTATTATGGCCTGGACGGAGTCCTGGAATTCCCTCAATACGGCAAACTTTCTCGCAGGTTACGGCACCCTGCACCCCAAGGCTGTGGAGACTATTAGTTGCTACCTGGAAGACGATGGACCAGACGCTGAAGTACCTTTTCTGATCATCCATGACCTCTGTGCGGAGGAATTTAAAGGCGCATATGGCCTGAGACCAGTCGACCCTGTTGCCTATGGTGTTGCTGCCCAAGTTGTCTGCAAGGTGCGCTTACACTCCGCCTTGAAGACATTTCGCCAAATGACTTTACGTCACTCGTGTGCGTATAAATAAGGCTAACTGATCAGGCAACTGACAACATTTTCAATTCCGGTGTATCAGTAACCCTCGGGTTAAGCGTAAATTTTTAACCTAATTCAGCAATTTTAAGAAAAACGAGATGTGAAGGCAAGCAGCTAGCAGTAAATATTGCTAGTGGTTTGACTTTGCCAGGCGTATTCAGTGCAGGTGTCTGTTACTTTGTGGCGTGGCGTGTAGGACAGAACGCGGAGGGCTTCTTTGCTTTGGCGCGCCTGTCCAAGGTCGAACTGAAATCAGACCAATGAGCTCGTGTCCCTAAGTGCAGGGCTGGACTTATGAAGCATCTGACTGTTTGGTTAGAACTTTAATCCTGACAGGAGCTAGGCATGACATCGGCAGACGTACAGCATGTGGACGGCTCGATAGGGCTACATGGACTACTTTGCCCAAAATAGAACCCATTCGAAATATCACTTCAAGAGGAATCTTGAATAGTCGCAAAATGTTACTGGCAAAAAGGGCAAATTTGAATGCCAATTTCCGATTTATTTTCCGTCACACTCCAGTAATAAGTCAACTCCAGACATGACAAACTAAGCCCTAGTCTTATCAGTCGATCGTTGAACCCGAAAAGGATCTTAAACAGTCCCGACTGGAGCTCATCTGAACCATTACCGGAGCCAGATTGGGTCGCAGCACGAGTCATTCGGGCTGCGCAGAGTCCGCCTATCCCAAAATTAATGGCAAACCTATGGGTTTTACGATACGCCTATTTGTAGGTTTCCTGTCATGTCAGAAACAGTGTTAAATCCCAGTTGGGAGTGGACTAGTGCGGAATCCATACGGATTTTACTGTCGGCGTCGACAACTCGGCGGGTTTTCAAATCAGAATTCATCGAAGGCAGATTTAGTTCGGGCAGTTTTAACTTAAAGAAGGAGTAAACACGAGGTTCGGCAAGTAGCTATTGCAGGCTATCGTTTGTTGTAACTAGCAGTCTCACCCATTTGTCTTTTGTGGAGGGCTTCGATTAACCGATAATGAAATAAATATCGTTTGGTGTCCCCGCGTAGATAAAACAGGAATAATTATTTAAATAATATAATGTTTGTCAACAAAAAAGCGCGCCATAACTAATATCTGCAATAATAAAAACATTTGAAACTAATTACAATCAAAAAGAACTAACTAAAAATACCAACAACTACCTAAAAACGTAAATTATCTTAACTTAAACTCACTTAACTAGAAAAAAGAAAACTAAAATAAAAATTTTAAACATAATCACGAAATGAAACTAAACTGAAAACTGAACTTTAATATAAATAAGTTAAATAAAATAATAAAATAAACTAACTGAAAGTTGTTGCACATACAAACTTAAGGTGCGCACGGCGCTGCGTGCCGCGACATATACTAATCTAACTCCAGAACGGTAAGTTGGGCCTCTGATAATTTGAAGTAGACGACCTCCTAATCGCCAATTTTTTTTCAGAAATATCAATAAATCCAATAAACTATAAAATATAGCTAAGTGAAAATGGCCAAATGTGTCTCACCCAACGAAGCCATAAGTAAGTAAAAAATGTAAGTAAATTTGTGTTTATTTATGGCGCGCTATTGTGTTGCGAAAACATGCAGTAGACGAGTTGGTTAACTTTGTTAGCCTATCGAGGAGGGTTATGGCTACTAAGGACTGGCGTGTGCGTTACACGCCCACATTGAGTCAACGCGCGCGACATTATCACGTGACTGAATATTTCCTAATCTCCCTACTAAAGTTTCCAAAAGTCAGAATTCCGGGATTAGGATCATGGATCATATAGCGCTCACCGGAATATGTTTGTTTGTTCGCTGACGTTTCGGACAGCTGGGCTGGCTTTCCTTTGTTTAAGCGTGAACTGACTTTATCGATCAGCAATTCAAAGTGTTGGCCATGGCTGATCGATTATTCTACGTTCGCTGCTTGGCCCTCCGTGTGGATTTTGGCATAAATTGACGGCAGGTAGTGTTGTGTTTCGTCCGCACGGTAGAAGGTGTTGGTAATCCTGCTCCCTTTTCCAGTGGTTTCGTCAGAAGGCGTTATTGTTTGCAAATCCCAAGTTCGGTTTGACCTTATCCTGTCCTGTACTCAGGTACTGGCGTACGAATTTGTAGGCCGCGGGAAGGTCCAGATGCCTGTTGACGGAGTTAGCGTCTGAGTACCATGTCTCAAGCGTCAGCCTTTCCATTTTTGAACTTCCCCGGCCTATGATGTTCACTGCTTGTTTTTAGAAGTTGTGGTCAGGCTCTACGATGTGCAACAAATAACAATATAAACTACCGGAAGAGAAAGCAGGATTACCAGCATCCTCTACGGTGGGGACGAAGCAAAACACTAACTGCCGTCAAGTTATGTCAAAATCCACACAGACAAGCTGTCAATTTAGTTCGTCATTACATGTAAATGAGTTATTTGGGTATGAGGGGGAGGGGATTTTTGGGTCGATAAGAAGAGGCTGGTTACCTGATAGCAATGTTCTAGGTGCAACGGATCTACTTGTCATAGGTCGTGCCAAAGGGTTTAGAGGAATAGAGCCCTAGACTTTTTGGCACGACTTATGACCAGTAGATCCTTTGCACCTAGAACATTGCTATCAAGGTTACGGGACAGTGGGGGGTTGTTGAAGCCGGGCTAGGAGGCGGGGGGGAGGAAGAGAAAGCGCTGAAAAGTGCATGCGGCTAAGTGACTGTTGGTCAGGCCAAGCGCGGAGCTTGCAGGAGGTTCTTTTTTGCACACAAGATCGTCTTCCTCAGCTGGTGGAGTGATGCAGAAGGCTAAATTGAAGTTTATAAATGAAATAATTTCTTAAGCTCTGCTTGACAAGCCAAACGTATTCAAAAATTCTCGGACTTACGTCGTATCCGACAAGTAGACCACTGTGGCAAACTTAGGCACACTCGTGGTTTAAACATTTTCAAGTTAGATTATACTTTTTGTTTTTTAAATATGTTTTCCTACATCTCCAACCTTATCTCCTGCTATATTTTTTCTTCATCTTAACTTCCAGTTGACACAGCAGCAACCCGGAATACTCCTTCTCGCCCGCTTTCTACACCGCCAAATCACACTGCAAAACCTCCTGGAAGGCATCCGCGCGCAAGTCAGTGTCGCTCTGCAAGCAAAACTACCCCCCACTACCACCTTGCCTGCTCTTCTACATACTATAAGCCAACTGCTGCCGACTGCCGACTGCCAACGTTGCGTCATTGTACTGGCAGGCGCTGAACATATAAGCGTTGACGAGGGTGCCCCCGGCGTCACTCTTGGCCGCGCCCATGTTCCGCAGTTCCTTTCACCACGTCTCAAACTCCTGCTGACTGTCACGTTGGACGAACGCACTGCAGAATTGGACCTGCCCGCCCTATGTCTGCATCTACGTCTCCCGGCGCTGTGCGAAGCAGACCTCCTGCGATTAGTGGTAGGGCGGGGTGGCGCCCAGCCCCTAGCGGACAAGAAACGAGACCTGGCCAAACGTAGCCTCATCCCGCTGGCAGCTGCAAATGACCTGCCCCAGGCGCTAGCTCTGGCCCGTCAGCTAGCTGACAGTTTCACCCTTGCGGAAGCAGCCAGCAGTGAGGTCAACGGAGGCTCCAGTCTGCATGATGCCCTCCGTCTCAGCCACTACGTGGACTTTGGGGTGGAGAGAGGGGTGATAGCTCCGACCGTCCAGCGCCTCCTGCAATTTGCCAGTGAACACCCCCTTGGTCTGCACTCCAACGAGCTCATCGATCTTTTCACGGGGTTGCTCAGTTCTGCTGCCGCCCGCGACGGGGCTCCACCCGTGAACTGGAAGACAAAGAAACTAGCGCTAGGCTTGGGCTGCATCTACTTCGCTCTCTACGGTCTCGTTCACCTGCGTTTCAGCAGTCGGTACAGTGAGACGTCTACCAAGGCTGTGAATGGCAACATTGTGCACAGGCCAGCCTCTGTGCCAGTTAGTTACAGCGATGAAAACACGGTTGACAGAGAGGTGTATGCCCTCCAGTTGGCCTACGTCGACGCGTTGACTCAGGAGAACCTTGAGCAATCAGCAGAGTGTGCACTGGTGAATGTTCGGCACTTGCTGCAGTTGCATCGATGTACCCTTAAATTGGGTCTCTTTGAGCGACTTTGCACGCGGCATCTTTTCAGCCTAGCCTGGATCAGGCGTGTATGTATCGAATGCACGCTGGAGGGAGTACTGGGACTCTACGACGCCTTCATCGCCCTCACAGACTCTCCCGGTTCCATGTCGCGAGACGAGCTGGCACAGATTCAAATGCAGGCGAGCTTTGTGCGTGATGTTCTGGCGGCCAGTACCTGTGGCCATGTGCGCCGGACACAGAGTCTAGCTGTGGAGATGCTGGGACGGCTGCTGGCAGTGTTTACTCCCTCTGACACGAGTATGCGCTTCTTGAATCAACTCATCTCCCGGTGCTCAAGCCTCTGCACTCGGAAGCTGGGACTCCTTCCGAGAATGCCGTTTCCACACGCCGTCGGAGACTCCCTACTGGTTCGTTTTCAGTTGCCCGCAGGCAGTCTTGACAGTTGGGTTCTGGTTGACCGACTACTGCTGATGAAAATGAGGGGCAGTTCGCTGCTCTACCGACTGGATCTGGATCATGCAGACAAATTAGTCGAAACCCAACTCGCCGCCGGAAGCCTGTATGTTAGCCAAAAGCACGGCATTATATTGGACGATGTTGGGCGTAGTGCGATAATGGTCTACGGACTCGGCAAGGACAGTAACGCTCCTCAATTCACCTATCAGTATACTGTGAATCCGCATAAAAGCCTCAATGGCAACACTCCTGTAGATGACAAACGCGCCGGTGTATGTACCGTACTGTGCCTCGACGTGATGTGTGAATTTCTGGCCATAGTGGTTTCAACATCGACTCAAATGAAACTGATTCGTGATACAGTGCAAACAACTGAGAATGAAAACGATAATCTCTCCCCGCTGACGCATAACATTGTCGCAGTCTACCATTTGCATGAAGGTGATCTCATATTTGCCACCTGTCCGCCAAAGCAAGCAACCTTTGTTAAAATTTATCCTAATTCTGTGGACCCCTGGAATCCCATCATTTTTACTAACAATGGCGATAAATTGGCCATATTTACGGCTCATTCGAACATCCAGTTGGCGCAACTTGACCTGCAAACTAGACCGCTAAGGATGCTCTTCTGTCGGCAGAACACAACAGTATTTCTGCTGACGGAAGAACCCCGAAAGGTGATTTTTCTGCGGTTAAAGGAGGATGCGACTGTGAAGTCGTCGTTTCGTGTCAGTTTTCAGAAGGTCATACCCGAAGACGTAATTACTGATCTGACACTAAATTCGTCCGGCCAACTTCTTCTGATACAAGCCCTGAAACACTTGGTGGTCTACGAAGCGGATACTGATAAGATTGTCTTTCTGGCAAACATTTTCGAAGGTCTCCAACAGGCTTGTATGCCTGAGTGCTATTTCGAGAAGTTTAGCATCTCTGATGCTTTGCTGGCCTATGACGACAACCTAGTACTAGCTGCCGCATATAATCTTGTAATTGTGTGGAGTATGGAAAGCGAAATAATCCTCTGCGTCCTGAAGGCTGAACCTGCCCCCCTCACAAGGCTGATGTTGAGTCTGGGGAGCAACGGCTGCTGTAATTTGATTGGCTACTGTGAGACCACTAGGAGGCTCTACATCTGGGACTTGGAAACTGCACTCAAATTCTCAGATTTTACAGACGTGGAGAACGCAAACGAAAACGACGGTATGCGACTCAAGTCTCCAGATCTCATGCCAGGGCCCATACGGGCTGCAGTCCAAGTTGATCCAGGCACTATTGCTGTTATCTGTGAAGACTCCGAGACTATCTACCTCGTGGATGGTGCCAGTTGTGAAATTGTCGACTGGATCGATGTTCAGGAGCCTGTTGAGGCACTACTTATCTCTCCGGCTAGTGCACATGTAATCGCACAGGCCACAGCAACCAAGCAAACACCATCAGAAGCACGATGGCGGCTCTTCGACCTCAATACCAAAAAGGTTCTTTACGAAGCAGACAGGGGAGAACGGTTGCTAATGAGTGCCCAGGGGTTCATAGGAGTTGGTTCAAACGCAAGTTGCCCAGTCAGCAAATGCGAATTTAAACAAATTCGTCTTGCTACAGACGCCAGAGCGGGTGTGGTGATAAACATTTCGACGGAACAGATTTCATGTGGTCTGCCAGCTGCTCATGCTGTGGCCGTTAATCTAGACCTGGTATTCAGTACCAGGGATGGTCAACTGCTTGTGTTTCCGGCGCTACAGCATGGATGGATGGCGGTAGTAGACAGGAAGACGAAGACCTGGACATTTGACCGCTCCCATCTGGAAGCAGAACTTGCACGAAATGAAATCCACCTGCAAGTGGTTGAACTGCTGGACTGCAGACCCTCAGTGGCTAGCTGCATTATCCTCCTCTTCAGCAGTGGCAAGTCGAGGCGAGATGTCTGTGCGGCACATTTGGACCTAAAGGAGGGTCAGCTTATCAACTTCCTGTCAAATGTGTCAGTGGCGTTTACACGAGAAGAAGAGATGTACAGCAGTCAGCTGGATGTTGCCAGCAACCTCTGTTATCTCTACAACCGCGAAAGCAGAACGATGTATGCAGCGGGTGAGGACAACAGGCTCAGGCTCCTGAGCCTTCCCTGGACCGCGGACCTGTCGGCGGTTGAGTTCGCAGGCTTCTGTGAGAACAGTCAGGCGGCAGTCTTTTATTCTGGTAGTCTCCTTCTGCTGGTAGATCTCAGGGAAGGCGGTCGGAAAAGAGCACATGTCGACTGCGGTGGTGAGGGCATCGTCTTCGTCAGCTTGCGGGCCCAAAACCTTCTGGTCGGCTGCCGGAACGGTGCTCTGTTCTCGTTCGCCCTGACCATCTCGGCGACCGGAGAACCCAGGGTACTGGAGGTCAGGCCGGTCAGACGTAGGTCCTCCGTGCTTGATTCTCTTGACAGAAAATGCAGTCAAGACCGGAGACGTGGTAGTCTGGAGGAACTACACGTCGAGAGTTAAAGGGAAATGTTACGCACTGAGTCTTCTTGTATGTACTGCATAATAATTATAAAACTGAGATTAACACCAAAAATGGCCTTCTTATTTTGAATTTGTATACCTCTAAGTCCTTATCACAGCCGGGCGATGCAGTTTAAAGCAATGATAAAGCACGGTCGCTGAGGGTTAAGCAAATAGGTTAAATCCTAGCCTGGACAAGGAAGAAGTCGTGTCGAGCACCGGATCAATTGGTTTATTGTCTCCGAACTTTCGAACTCTTACAGGAACCCATGATCAGAGATGAGAAGTTGAAACCAAAAGGAGGCGAATTATAGTGGCCATAGGCGAATCAACCGTCAGAAGTCATCAGGTTGATACGGCGTTAGAACCAGCAACCAAGAGGGATGGGAGGAGGTTAATTAGACAAGGTTTACTTTAATTAGTTATCAATGAAGTTGGGGGGTCGCTCGGGGTCATGGACAGCAACTAGTGTGGTGCCTTGTCCCCACGGTAGTGGTTCTGGTAATCCTGCCTCCTCTTCCGGTCGGTTCGCCGTGGGGTCCTCTTCGCTTGCCGTTCTTACGTTCGGTTTGGCCTTGTTCTGCCCTTTGCTCACATAATAGCGTAAGACTTTGTAGGCCGCGGACAGGTCTAGAGGCCTGTTGACAGAGTTGGCATCTAAGTATCATGCCCCAAGCGTCAGCCCTTCGGCTTTTGAGGTTCCTCGGCCTACGATGGCCGGTCCTTGAAGATCGAAGGCGTGGCCAGTCTCTGGGATGTGTGCTGCAAGTTGCGAATTTGGGTCTAGGCTCCGAGCTGTTAGTTTGGGTTCATGTAGGCGGGTCTGCAATTTTCGGCCTATTTCTCCAACCCTAGCCGCTGCGATCTTCAGGCCCAGCCCCTTATGGGCAGAGGATAGTTATACGCCAGGGGGAAGGAATTGTTTGTTCTGTACAGAAGTCGTGAAGACTAGGTAGGAGAAAGTTGACGGTCAGACAAGCGTACGCCTGAACCCGAGCGAGGCAGTGTCTGGATGATTGTGTTAACGAAGGAAGCTTCAAAAGCATCTAGAATCAGCCTAGAAGGTGATTGGCCAGCCGGGCTGGATTCGAACTATGAGTGCGCGCGTACTGGTGGCCACGCGAGACAGAAAATATCAATCACGTGACCTCGGGCATGGCGTGGCATGAGAGGTAGAAGGCGCTGCTGGGTCACTGCAGTAATCAATGCCTCTACTTAGTACTACCATCGTGGCAACCAAACCAATGACAGACACTAGCGATTACAGTGTCGAATAGAAAGAGATTGGACGCCAGCAGGTAGAGAATAGTATTTTGTACATAATTTTTTGTAGAATAGCTTGTAAAGAGTTGGCGTTCGGCCCAGAGCACACGTCCGGACACCTTGCTGGGAGGCCTATCTGCGTTTGCATTGAAATTAATTATGGGTTTACCATGGACAGGCGCAAAGGTCGTAGTGTTTCAGTGGGCGCCCTGACTAGTGCCAATACACCCCCTCATCTACGGACAGGCAACGGTTAAAACGCGCAAAGGCTTATAAATTGCCATCTTCTGGGAATTTTTAGTAAGTGAAATGGCAATTATCCGGAATTAATTTCTCGTTAAATATTACTTGCAGGGCTTTCATATCAGTTGGCATATCAATTTTGACCAGTTGTCATATAATGGTTCCCCTTTCACGCGCAGAAAAGTAGACTCAGATAAGTAGTGATGTACTCGGAGACAATGAGGGCGTGGTCCAAATCCTTAATAGATGATGCCATGCGTACCCACCGACATATGTTAAGGCTAAGACGGTCAACCCTAACAGATACGATCTTCCAGGCCCATGGTTCCTTTAGTTGAGAAAAGAAGACGGTGGGAAAGCCAGATTGTTAGGAATAATGTATTCTGCAGAAGGAGAGGAGAATAGATGGAAAGATTTTTGACTCGCGGACTCCGTTCCCTAGTCGGGTCGGGTCCGGAGTGATGCCTGAAGGTAGACACCGC